CAATCTTAATTCCGCCCGACATTATGCTCTCCGGCCAAAATCATATATATATATCCCAAAATTTTTTTTTACTAAGAGAGAGAGGGGGGAGGTCAAAAGAGAGGGGGGGGGGTAATGTAAACCACCGAATTAAATTGGTCTGGCCTAATAGATATTTTTTAGAACGTGTAAAGGCGTTCTCAAACGCCTTAATCAATGCGTCAAAAAGTGTTGGTAAACAAATTTTACTTAGCGTAAAAATATTTTAAGTGGATCAAATATGCTTGTCATTTTGACGAATTTAAAGTTTATTGCGTGAATAAAATATTTTTATTAGTAAAAAAACCATTTCAATTTACATTTTGCCTTTTTTATATTAAACGTTAATCGAGTATTCAAAAAGATTACTCAAGTAACTTTGTCATCATCAACGAATTATTATTTTATAAACAATAAATAAAATATAGTACCTGAAAGCCCAAAAAAACAAATACGGATACTTACCATTTTTTGCCATACCATTTCGTCAATATTTTCTCATCAAACTATGTAAAAGTGAAAATTTGATCTGTGCCATCCATATTTGGTATTCTGTGTACTACTGCAGTACTGCATATGTTATATAACTAGTTGTAGAGGTTGTAGTAAATACAATTATCTGTAATTATTCTTTACCATGCAGACCTTTTCATATAATTATGATTCAAAAAAAGAGACAGGATATATTGGACTAATAGAGAATCAGGATGATACAAATTATTTGAATGTTATTCTACAATCATTATACTGTATAAATAAATTTCGTAAGGTTAATGCCTCTAGATTAATGTTTTTTTCTACTTTTTCATTAAATCTAATTATATGCTTTTTTTGTTTTTTTTTGGTTATAGGTGGTATATCAAATTCCCACCGAGAATGACGAACCAACTAAAAGTATTCCTTTATCTATGCAAAGGGTTTTTTATCAATTGCAAATATCAGATACTTCTGTTAAAACAACGGAATTAATAGAATTAATGGGTTCATTTGGATGGTTTGATTGGTATGACTTAGAAGTCTTTAAAAATACGTTACTAAATAATTTGGTGAGTAAAATGAATATGTTTTTTTATAATTTATCAATTTTTTCCTATAAATTGTGTTAACATTTGTATCCGTTATTAAGGATGCAAAATCAAATGGTGATGTTTCTAAGCTCTTTGTTGGTGAGATAAATAATTATATTAAATGCATTAACGTAGATTATGAGGACTCTCGCGTTGAAGATTATTATGGTAATAACGACCATATGAATATACATTTACAAATGTTTTTATTATTTTTTAAATATTATTAATTTTATCATTGGTAGGTATTCAACTTTACGTAAAGGGGTGTAAGACTTTAGACGATGCTTTGATGAATTATATACAAGAGAAAACATTAGAAGGAGAAGATAAGTACCAAACCGAAATCTATGGCTTACAAGTGAGTTATATTTACAGTTATGGCTCTATCAAAATCTGGTGATTTCGTATAGTTACTTCATTATTACTTGGTTGAATTGTTAATTTTAATTATCTATAGGACGCAAAAGCAGGTGCAATGTTTGAAAGTTTTCCATCAGTATTACATTTGCAACTAAACCGGTCTGCATATGATGAAAACGAAGATGCTATAGTTTATGTACTGTATTTATCATCTACTGTAATTTTTTTATTATAATTTATAACTTGTTATGATATGTGATCAAAATTATAATAGACAAATGACCGGTTCGAATTTCATACGGAAATTGATTTACAAAAATATTTGTCTCCAAGAGCAGATATATCAAAACCCCACAAATATTTGCTTCATGGGTTTGTAAATTTTATATAGTTATATTATTCATCTATATCATTATAACTTTATTATAGACTAACATACCATATGATATCTTTTTATATTTAGAGTAGTTGCTCACAAAGATGATATATATGATGACCATTATTTTGCTTTACTAAAACCAGAAAAGAATGGGAGATGGTTTAGATTTTAATTTTTTAATAATGATAAATTAATTTTTAGACCGTGTAATATTTCTAATAACTTACATTGATCATTGTGACAGGTTAAAATTTGATGATGAGGCAGTTACAATTGTAACAGATGAAGAAGTACTTGAAAATAATTACGGGGGTAACAAATATAGTGCATATATGTTGATATATATTCGTGAATCTGATATCGACGACATACTATCTCCTATACTTCCTGGAGATATACCTGAACACTTGCGTGAGTAACCTCGTTTATAGAATTCGCAATTTGGACTTGCATTATAATTTTTTTTTTCATACTGTATAATAGAAAGACGCTTAGATGAAGAGAGGGCGTTATGTGAAGAAAGAAAAAAGAAAGCAGAAGAATATTTATACGTGCATGTCAAGGTACAACTCGTTCGAGGTTAACAGTAAACATGGATTTTAAAGTTTAAACCACTATGTTTAATTTTTACTGATAGATCGTGACTTCAGAATTCTTTAAGTGCTATCAAGGATTTGATCTCGCTAATTTTAATGACCAACAATATCCACTATCTGATCTTCCACAACTTAAAGTTTCGAAAAGTGACACATATGAAACTTTTAAAAACATGGTAGCTACTAAATTTGGGCTTCCAGCTGAACAAATAAGGTTATGGGTTCTTGTAAATCGTCAAAATAAAACCATTAGACCAGATGCTCCAATAACAGACGATTGTCTTGGCATGTGTATGTAATATATAAACTATGATTCTTTTTTTTAACTTGGTAATCAATTTCTTATTAACTATGAACAGTAATGGAAGAAATTCACACAAAAATGGCTGCAAGACAAAACGATTTGAAGTTGTATTTAGAAGTTGCGATTAATGGAGTAATTATTTTAACATATTATTATGTATACTATTTAAACATATATTTTATTTATTTGTTATTTGCTTATTTATTAATGCATAGACAGTGCTTCCACCAACCGAAGAGGATATGTTTATCTTTATCAAGTATTTTAATCCCGACACACAACTTCTAGAGTATATAATTTAAATCGTTCTATTAGTTCTCTTGATAGCGTATGAGAATTAATCTTCACGAGCATCTAATCAGGGGACTCGGCCATATGCATGTCCAAGGAAACAGTAATGTTGGTGATATCATTCCCATTCTTTGCGAGAAAAAGGAGCTTCCACCAAACACGCCCTTGAAAATATACGAAGTAAACTATATTTAGCATATATATATATTCGTTGTACCTTAGACTAGAATTTAAATTCTAATTCTGATCCAAATTATATTAGTCCAATTTAGGGTACAATATATTAATTGTTTATAACGGTATATTTATTTTACCAAAATATAGGAAATAAATCCCAATATGATTGAGGAGATGAAACCAGATTTAACATTCCAACAATCTGAGATACAGGATGGTGATATAATATGCTTTCAAAAGAAGCTGACAGAAAAAGAGTAAGCTATTTATTAGTATAATCTTCGTTCTTTCGTTTTTTTTTTTTTTTTTTTTTTTTTTTTTTTTTTTTTTTTTTTTTTTTTTTTTTTGCTTAATTTTTTTTTTTTTTTGGTTAAATTTTTTAATTTTTTTCGTTTTTTTAATTATTATTTTTTTTA